TACCACCAAAGCCAATGCCACTCTTGTCACAACTCATTTGTTGAGACCCAATGATATCCTCCAAAGTCTTTGATCCTTTGTTCCAAAGACCAATGGTAGCCATAGCACACTTGAGCTCTTCCTCTTTCTTGACCATTAGTTCTTCCAAAGCAACTTGTGACATCTCAAGAGATTTAATCTTTTCTTCATACATGGCATGGGTTTGCAGTAGCTCATTCCTCTCCGTCTCACAAGTCAATAGTTTTGCACAAAGAACTTGTTGATCATCAGCTATCTTGATGGCATTGATCCTAGCCTCGGAAATCTCCTCCTTAAGTTTGACATTCTCACATTCACATGCTTTGAGTTTCTTTGTGAGTTTGTCATTCAATTTGATTAACTTAAGAGACTCCTGATACAACTTTTCATAAGCTTGCTCAATCTCTTCATGATCACTCTCTGAGGATTCATCATCAGTGATATTCTCAACCGACATCTTCGGAGAATCTGTTTGTCCTTCAGCTTCAGAAGCCGCCATGAAAGCTAGAAATTGTTTATGACCCTCTTCGCCTTGACCTTCATTGTCACTTTCATCTTCATCAGATTCAGATTCATCATCCCAAGTGATGGCAAGGGCTTTCTTCTTCTTCAAACGAGTGGGGCATTCTTGAGCAAAATGGCCAAATCCTTGGCATTCATAGCATTGAAGTCTTTCCGAGTTTCCTTGTATCTTTCCTTTCTCCTTCTTGGCTATAGAATTAATTTTGAACTTATCTTTGCCCTTAGATTTATGAGTATGAGTAGATTCTAAAAGTTTAGAATTCTTTTTCAGAAAAGATTTTTTAAATTGTTTAACAAAAGCAGATGTAATCTTGGAATCTATCTCACAATCCTCATCAGAATCCTCTCCAACTCTATGAGCACTACTAAAAGCAATATCTTTCTGTTTCTTTTTGAAATTCTTATGTGCCTCATAAGTTTGGAGATTTCCAACCAACTGATCCAGCTTGAGGTTGTCAACATCTTGAGCCTCCTCAATAGCCGTAACTTTTGGTTGGAACCGATCGGGCAAGGATCTCAAAATTTTTCCCACAACTTTGGATTCTGGAATTTTTTCACCTAAATTGAAGCTGGAATTTACAATGTCACTCAACTTCGCATAAAATTCATCAAAGGTCTCACTATCTTTCATTGAAAGGTTTTCGAAACTAGATGTGAGCCTTTGAAGTTTTGAACGTTTCACAGAAGGAGTGCCCTCATGAATAGTTTGTAAGATATCCCAAGCCTACACAATTAAAACCCCCAATTTCCCATTTTAGGGTTTTCATAAAAATTTGGGACTTCCTCATTTTACAAGCCAAACCTTTGAAATCAAGATACCATTTTCTTGTTAGAAGTAAAAACGTCAATATTTTAAAACAAGGAGCACAAGCCCTAGCTTTTATACATATTGAAAATCCTAAGTGATTCGTGATTAGATCAAGATTAAAATATTTCAAATCCCAAGTATCCAAAACACACAATCTAAACCAACAAGCACTTACGAAAGTGATTTAGATTGTTTGTTTTTCGGAATAAACAATAAATTGACACAAAAG